ATATTTAAATTTTATGAAGTCCAATTTAGCTATTATTTGTTTTGTCACTTGTGCTTTTGGTTTTGTATCCAGGAAGGTTTTCCCTAATGCAAGCCATGAAAATTTGCTTCTATAATTTCTTCTGATTGTTTGAGTTTTATCTCTTAAATTTAGATTATAGATGTTCTTTTTATGTTTATTTTATTTTATTTTAAGGATTTTATTGGGGAATTGGGGAAGGGGAACAGTGTTGGGCAATTGGGGAAGGGAAACAGCCAAGTTGTCCTTCAATCTTAGTTGTGGAGGGCGCAGCTAACTCAGCTCCAAGTCCAATTGCCATCCAGCTGCCCATCAGCAGCTCAGCACCACTCAGCTCAAGGTGCCATGTTCAATCTTAGTTGTGGGTGGACGGGTGGTGTAGCCCACCATCCCATGTGGGAGTTGAGCTAGAAACCTTGTTGCTAAGAGCGCCCGTTCTAACCACAGAGTCATCTGGCTGCCCGTCGGCAGATCAGGGCAGCTCAGCTCGGGTGCAGCTCACTGGCCCATGTGGGAATCGAACCTGCGACCTGTTGCTCAGAGCTCGTGCTCCTAACCAACTGAGCCACTTGGCCAGCCCCTGAGGTTTTTATCATAGTGGGAATCAATTTAGTAGAAGCATATCAAAATGTGACAATGCTAGAATAGTTTATATATATTATAGTAATAATTGAGTAAACTCCTCTGAGTGGAACATGCTGGATTCTAAATCTTATTGTCAAATAGTTTAGATATTGTGCCTCTTTTTTCTCATATATGTCTATTTAATAAGTATTTATTTAATTAAATATACTTATTTAATTAATATATTTAAGGTTTTATTCAGGCCTTATCCAGGCCAAATGTTTAATAATGTAGGGAACTATGTGATATACTAATTAGTACTCTTAAACATGGATGATTGACTTGCTTAGTCTTAATAATAGAACAACTTTGACAGTAGGGAGACTGCGTATGGGAGATTAGAGAAGAACAAGGAGGACATCTAAGCAAGGTGGTTGTAGTCTACCATATGCTTGCTATGTGAGAAGTGACATATAACCAACCCTTGATGCATTTCAGGATCAGATTCTATGGCTGTGTGTCCAGACCTTTACATTTGGAAAGATGTTACTGATTTGCAAACTATGATTAGCTCTTTATATGAGTATTTAAATACTTTGAGATCTCTTTTGAATATTACTTTTTAAATAATTATTAATTTTTATAACTTTCAAATTCCTCATTTGCTCTAGGGACCCAGGGCTTACAATATATAACCTTCTTTATTATTGTGATACATGATATGATTACCTAATATGTAAATGATTTGGTTTTTTTAAATAAGATTTTTATAAAAAATACAGTTAACATACAATATTATATTAGTTTCAGGTGTACACCATAGTTATTCAACATTTATATACCTAAAGAAGTAATCGCCATGATGTCTAGCAACCATCTGACACTGTACCATACTATCACAATATTATTGACTATAGCCACTATGCTGTACATTATATCACCTGTGCCAGGTGCTCCAGGAGTGTCCCTTGTGTGGGTTGTGTGCGTACTCCTGTTATTGTTGAGCCTTGATTGCTATTGGCACATCGGTGGGTGGTATTGACCCTCAGGCTGACTGGCTGTGGGGTTTAGCCATGTTCACAGCTTATAGGCTGCTGTGTGGGGATCTTACCCCACTGAATGGGATTCGCCCTAGTGGGTTCTGGTGCCTGTGGAGATCGCCCTTTGTGTTTGCCGCTTGTGGAGCTAATTGGGTGGTGCTCTGCTGTGGTCTGAAGCCAACATCCAAGTATATCAGTTGTCGGGCCTCTTTGGGAGGGGCTCCAGTGCAGGTCTAGGTCATCCACAGCCTGTGACCAGTGGGGGGACTACCTGGTAGGATATACGAAGTGATGTGTTGTTGTTTACCACCTGTGCTAAACTTGAAGGTGCAAGGGAGAGGCCACGCTGTGAGGCGAGGATGGCTGCCACTTCCCTTTGGTAGTCCCCCCCCAAAAAAAACTAGGACACCTTGAGCCTTGCTGCCATTTTCCTTGAGGTTCAACCACTGATAAAGCCTCATGTGGTACATCAGTTGGGTGAGGCAGGGTGTTAGGGTGTCACTAGAATGGGAAGAGTTGTGGTCACCAAGTTAATGTAGATTCTGGTTTGCTGCTGAGCCTGGAGCTACTCAGCAAAAGTCTCAGAGCACACTGAGGCCAGTCTCTGCCCACCTGGGGCCCACAGACCCTGATAGTTTTCCATGAAAGAATGTAATGCAGGTGGGGCTGGCTCCTCACTGAGAAAATACCTCCAGCATTGGGGGAGTTAGAGAAGACGGGGTTTCAGGGGAGCTCACCAGGCCAATCAGATTCAGATTTGGTCATTTGGGGGTGGGCTCAACATGAAAAGAATGTGTCTGCGTGCTAGCTGCACAGGAGAAGGACCCCATACAGGGAAAATGGCAATTGTTTTCCAGTCCTTGCCTGCAATCACACACCCCAGTCTTTCCCTGTGTGTCCTTGATGCACCCTGAGTCACCGTCTCTACGCTGGAGCCCAGGGTGCATGCTTGCAAGTGAGTCTGTGCTTGGGCCCTTTAAGAGGACGGCTGCGTTTCTCACAGCCTTCTGTCCCATCTGGATGGTTAGAGTCCCCACTGGTTTTCACAACCAGATGTTGTGGGGTCTCTTCCAGGCAGCAGTACTCTTGGGTGGGGATCCTGTGTGGGCTGGAGTTCCTCGCTCATCTGAGGGGAATCTCCAAGGCTGAGATATCCCTCTTGATTCTCAACCGCCACATGGAGTTTTGTCGCTGTCCCATTCTATGTCTGTGCTCCTCCTACCAGTCTTGATGTTGCTGCTTCTTTGTAATCTATACTTATGAAACTTCTGTTCAACTAGAATTAACATGGTTCTACAGGTAGGTTGTTCTGTAATTTAGTTGTAATTTTAATGTGTTTACGTAAGGAGACAGGTGCAATGTTTATCTACTATACCATCTTGGATCTCTTCCTGGGTTTCTTTAGTTCTTCTTCTTCTTTTTTTTAATTGTATTGGGGAACAGTGTGTTTTTCCAGAACCCAGCAACTCCAAGTAGTTGTTTCAATCTAGTTGTGGAGGGCACAACTCAGTGGCCCATGTGGGAATTGAACCAGCAACCTTGGTGTTATGAGCACTGCCTTTTAACCAACTGAGCTAATTGGCCACCCCTAGTTCTTTTTTTTTTTTTTAAATGTCTGACCTGTGTACTATAAACTACTCTTTTATTTTAGGTACCTAGTACTTGTAATGTTTAAGTTCATTCTCAGAATTGATGAGATAACAAATGGTAATCAGCAACTTTTAAAATTTAATCCTCTTCAGGAAAGAAAAGATTTATTCACTAACAAATTAAATTTCCCCTGTCAAATTAAAATATTCATTTTTAATTAATATTGAAAGTAAACTTTCAAAAGTAATATTGAAAAAATATTACTTGTGTTTATTAAGCAGAAATGTGCTAATATTAGGTGAGTGGTTGGAAAATTTTAAGAGCAGACTTTTAAAAGCCCATATGTAGGTTATCATTATGTCCTCACATGTGATTTTGTCTCTCAGTATCTCCTTTAGATTTTGTCTCTCAGTATCTCCTTTAGAATATTGCAGACATTTCCACCAATAATATCCATAGATACCTTATAAATTAAAAACATTCAAAGAGGATATGCAAAATGTTATCTTAAAATACCAACAGGTCATTCTCTTCCTGTTTTTTATGCCCCTTAATGGCCCCATTTTCATTGCAGTCACAAGGAAGTCATTGATACCTATCACCCTTCCTTACTATATGGTGATATACCAAATTCTATCAAGTGTTATTTTATGATATGCCTTATATCTTTCTCCATTTTTCTACTTTCTGCATCATTTCTCAAGGTCAGTTTCTGTTTAATGGTTCTCTGGGATATTTAAGTAACTCTCAACTGTCTTTTTGCTTCGATTGCTATCTTTTACACTGCTAAAAGTGTCTTTCTAAATACACAAGTAGTCAGGTCACTGTCCCTCAAAATCAGTTAGCCATATAGACTAAAAGTCACACTCCTTAGCATGTTATTTAAAGCCCTTTTGTCTATGGCTTCAATCCTACCTTTTATCCTCACCAGCCCCATCAACTTCCTCCCTGATTGTGAAATCCACTATGCATGTACTCTCACTTCCTTGTTTTTTTGCTCATGTTGTTCCTTCCATCTGAATGCCTGCCTTCCTCTATTGACATGGTTTTATTCTTTACAGCTCAACTTAAATGCCATCTTTTGGGGGAGAGACTTCTTATTAAGAGTTAACCTTTTTTCCCCTGTTTTCTTCCTGTGATGCATTTATTGGACCTTCATACAGCACAACTCATTTTAACATAGTGATTATACTTGAGTTCTTCAGTCAGGCACAACTGGATTCAAATCCTGCCTCTACTGCTTACTTCTTTGATGTTTCTGGGCAGCTGATGTAATTTCCTAAGCTTCCTCCTTATCTGTTAAATTGAATTATTTATATATAATGCTCAGGTCTCTTTTTATGTTAAGTCTGATAACACAACATCAGCATGATAAACAGTATCTATGTGTGCATTCCAGGTACTTACCCACTTGCCTCTCTCCCCCGGTAATAGTAAGCACTTTGAGGACAGAGATTAGTCTTACTCACCTTAGTACCCATTCCAACATGCTGGTGACAAAAGAAAATCTCATGTTCTCTTTTACTTTCACTTGTTGTGGTTTAGGGACATGTTAAACCTAATTCATTAGAATTAACATTAATTTATTGCTCTATTGCCTCATTCCACAAAGGAATTGGGATGACTTATGAGATGTATAAAGAACAAAAGAGTGAACCATGTATAAAATAGTAGTAACTGTATTTTGAATAGTTGAAGAGGTAAATTTCACCAATGTGAACTTAAGTGAAATAAAAGCTATAGATAAGAAAATACTAAAGTTTGTGTTCATCCTGTCATGTTTTGTAGGATCTCGTCTTCGCCAGGAGGACTTCCCCCCACGGATTGTGGAGCACCCTTCAGACGTCATTGTTTCTAAGGGAGAGCCCACCACTTTGAACTGTAAGGCTGAGGGCCGACCAACACCCACTATTGAGTGGTACAAAGATGGTGAGCGGGTGGAGACTGACAAGGATGATCCCCGGTCCCATAGGATGCTGCTGCCCAGCGGATCCTTGTTCTTTTTGCGCATTGTGCACGGGCGCAGAAGTAAACCTGATGAAGGAAGCTACGTCTGCGTTGCAAGGAACTATCTTGGTGAAGCAGTGAGTCGAAATGCATCTCTGGAAGTGGCATGTAAGTAACATAAGGAACATCATAAATGACATGCATGTTTACGTTGATTAACTCATAGTAAGCTGTGATTTGTTCCCATAGACAATACCTAAAGAAGAAAGAAATCAACACGTTCTACATAATTTTAGTTTGCTTTCTCCAAAGAAAGCTGGTCAAATAATGTCAGGGTGTTGCTGTAAATTGGTTTATATTAAAGCAAGGTGGTGATGATGCTGGTCATTTTTAAAATTTGAATTATCAATGAGAGATGTATACAAGTATTAAACTTGGCTGTGCTAAAATAAGAAGTTTGTGTAACATGGCATCAGATACAAGGCATATATTCAATATTGTACTGATTTCTGTTTTATTACAGAATTTTAAAAAGAATATACTCTCTAGGTTAAATTAACTCTTTTACTTCTAGGCTACATTCAGGAATTATTGCCCAAGGCATATTGGGAAAAACAGCAACTATATATTTTTTTTAATAAAAACATTCATCGGAGAAGAGATCTGATTTCTGTAGGCATAGACTGTTTATACATAGAAGGATCTTATTCAGTATTGGTAATCAGCAATAGCTAAGGATTTGCCCTGACTTTGATATTGATATTAAAAAAATATGTACACACACACACACACACACACACACACACACACACACACAGTGCCAAAAAAATGTATACACATTTTAAGAAAGGAAAAAGCTATTAAAATTGTGATATTTAATATATACTGATAACAAAAGATGAATACAAATCACATTTGACTTCTGCAATTACAAGAGGTGCTCAGTGGTTCCTATCAGTGTCCAGACACTTCTGATTACAGCGAACTACGGCTTGAGCAAGGTTGACCAAAGTGTCCACTTGTATGCATTTTTTTGGCACCCCGGTATACATATATGTACATAGATGTGTATGTATTTATTGATAAGATAACTCAAAAACTCTAATAAATCAAAATATGTGTTTTGCAGCTATTTGAACATTGATTGCATAATTTCATACATTGTTTTCCAGACAAATTGAAGAATATGATACATTCTTTTTTTCTTTTTTTAAATTTATAAGCAAGAATTTGGTGACCATATGTTTCATATTATCAATATTGAGGAGAGATTTTATCTAGAAGTAATTCTGAATAAGATGCCAACAATTGGACCTTAAAAAAGTTTGTACCTTTCAACTTTCTGGTTGTACCAGTAGGTCTTCATAGATAAGATAATTGAGGAATTTCAGTAGGCACGAGTCTTATTTATATGTTTGGGAGAGTAGTGCTAAAAAATAGCTGATGGTCTCATGTCTGTAATTAAAATTGATACTGTGCTTTCATGCTACAAGGTATCATACTTGACTGTAAAACTTGTGTATTGTGTATTGAAATTCTCAATGATCTGTCATTACATTTTATCATTACCTTTACACATGAAAGTATCTTTTAGTAAACAGAATCATGGTTTTCTTATTCATCTATCCCAATGAAAGCTTTTGTTCTCGTGTCCAGTCTTTTGACTTAAAGTTTGTACCAGGAAATCTGGAACCCACTGATGCTTGAAATGTGCAAATCCAATAGGAAAAGATTAGAAGAATCCTAAGAAACAAATTTGTTTTTAAAAGGCCTCATAATATGAGCATTAGAATCTTAGATAGTGATGCCATTTTGGTCTGGACACCAGGCAGTTTCATTTTTATGACTGACTTTTGTGAAACCAGTTAAATGCCATTTAGAGAGATTTGAAATAAACACGTTAAAACCTCAAGAATGAAAGTATTCCAAACCAATTCATTTTTATTTTGAAATATCTTATTTCTGGAACTTTCCAAACTTGTTGAAATACTTCAATGCAAATTTTATTGACCTTTTCCCCTAATGGATCCCTTTATAGTAAATACAAAGGGTGCCAAAAAAAAGTATATACACATTTTAAGAAAGGAAAAAAAAGTGTATTAAAATTGTAATAATATATACCGATAACAAAAGATGAGTACAAGTCATGTGTATACATTTTTTTGGAACCCCCAGTATAACAGGTGTTATTCTCCCCTTTTATAGATAAAATGAAACCCATGATAGTTAAGTGACGAAAATGTAGACAATAAACTAATGGGATATTCAAGATCAGATCCTGATTCTTCTAATTTTCAGTTTTATAGAATTGTGTCATATTTGGAAAAACACTTATATGAAATCTGGCCTATTTTAAATAAATAAAAATTAAGAATTTTTAATTTTGTTCTTGTATCTACTTAACACCACATAATTATTTCAAATTCTTAAATAACTTGTGTTCTCAATGTTAAAGTTGATCTAAATTGCCAGTCATTTTATTTTTGGGCAAGTAAACACTTATTTTTTTCCCCTGAACGTTAGCTTTGTTAATATTGCTCTCAATACACATGCATTTTGTATTTGTATTTAATCTGAAGGATTGGTTTCTTTCTAATTGCATCATTAATAATGAATTAAACTATTTTAGGAGGAAAATCTTAAACCATGATTTTTTTCTTTTCTTGTAATGTGACAGTGGCTTTTTAAATTTTAAATCAGTGAGCTTTGAGAAATGCTAAAAATACTTCTGACCTAGAGAGGAAAACAAGAAATCTTCTAAATTGAATTTAGCTAGTGAATAAATTTCTTTCTTCTAATGCCATGTCGACAGTTCATGCTATTTGAGGCAATGAAAGATCAAATAGTATTCATTTATATGCTGCTCATCTCTTTCGCATTAGCTCATTATGTTCTGTCTTTCCTTATGTGTTTCATAAAAAATATTACTATGGAAATTTGGATTAAGCACTGTGGTTTCCCAATACTATTGGTAACCAATGTGTATTTTTGTAAAATGGTAGAGGGACAGCTGCAGATTATATACTTGTTTGACCTTCGTATTTTAGAACACTCAACGTAAATGCTCAATTATGGCACATCCATTTCTTTTTCCATCAAAAGGAAGAACGGAAGCCTAAAAACATTGTGTATTTGGAGAACTGCTGGTAGCTTGATATGAAGTTGGTAGGCAGCATAAGTTCAAAAGGTAGGCATGTACTGCATAATAAAATCTAGACTATTTTTGTTATGTAGAAGGAGAATGGTGCCCATTTCAGCAGCACATATAAGAGGAGAGTCTTTGAAAGAGAACTGAGGATTGGGTTTAAGGAATGATGACTGAAATCAGAAGAATTAAGTAGAATTGAGCTGCCCAGTAACTCGGGAAAGAGTTTATATTAGATATTAAACTGAACATAGTGCTGAAGATTGAAAGAAGGAAATAGTTTGAATCATATTTAGAAATTCTAAATCATATCACTTTCAGGTCAATTTTGAGGATAGAGGGTGATTCCTATCTGTGTGTGTGTGTAGTTTTTGTTTTGCTTTGTTTTTGCAGAGTGGACTGGGTATATAGGAATGGCAGATGCAGAAGTTAACTGTAGTGGGTGGGAACTGAAGACTAAAATCAGCTTTGGCTCTATTGTTCACCACGCTGGTGAGATATCAAGCTAAAAATATTGTATGTTCTATTAAAAAAAAAAGAAAAAAAAATAAAGAAAAGCTTTTGAAATTGAGAGCAAGGTCTTCCTGAGACAGGTTGAAACCACTGGGTGTAGGCAGAAGTAGACCTGATTGTTCTGGTAGGCTGTGTGCGAGAAGTGCTTCATACGGGCTGAGACCACCCCTATTGTTAGGAACCCCGATATTTAATGGTGCACAGAGGAAAGAATTGCCAGCGCAGGAGACTCAGAGGAGGTTTCAGAATGGATAGGATATGGACAGTCAAGTGACAAGAAAACCAAGGAAATAATTTTAAGAATGAAAAAGTGGTTGGCAATGTAAATGCCACATAGTGGCCACATGAAGTGTATCTGCGGGCTCTGGGAACGGAAAGAGCACAGCAGCTGACAAATGAGGTGGTGGACTTGGAGGGACAAATGGTGCCTGTTCTTCCAATAGTTTAGCTCTGAATAGGGTGTGAGGGAACTAGAGCAGGGTGATTCTTTGCTGTGGGTGGCTGTGCTTTGCATTGTATGATGTTTAACAACATCTCTGACCTTTGCTCAGGGGATGCTAATAGGACATGCCCAGCCCCATTTGTGACAACCAAAGGTGTCTCCAGGCACTGCCAAATGTCCCCGGGATGGGGATGGGCCAAAATAGTTGAGGGTTACTAATCTAGGTATATCTAAGTGGTTAAGAGTGTATGGCTAAGTAGAAAACTAACTTGTTACAACTTTTATGGTGAAATGACTAGTGATAAAAAAAATATGCAAATTTTTTACACTCTTTGCTTCACCTTGGTTTTCATTTTTAATTAACTCTTGGTTTCTGCTGTTGTATGAAATGTGCAATTTTATTGATAACCATCTGCCTTGACTGATTATATAGAAGTCCGCCTGTTGTTTACCATACTGTATTTGTTCTCATTTTTTTTTTCCTTCAATATGTACTGCACTTTTACATAAGGGAACAAAATAATGGAGGAAAAAAAAATTCAGGACCCATCACTGCAATGAAGATTTGGATGACTTATGTCATATTTGCTTTCCCCCTGTTTTATTTGGGGGGGGAAACAAAAAGCAATCTTGAAAGTACTTTTCAAATCACTGAGCTCAAGAAAGGTCTTTAGGCAAAAAGTGACTTTTACACATTTAGAAGAGAATTGCGGGGAGTCCACAGCAGGTCACCTGGCACTGAAGAAGTTAATACACAGTTTTCCGATGGGACCACCAAGAGAGCCTCGGCATGGCTGGCAGAGATGGGGTTTCAGTTAGAACACCAGTCCTCCCTGTGTTTGGAGCAGAAGGAGCGCAGAGGTCCTCATACAGAGTGTGGCTGCCTGTGATGCAGCCCAAGTCAGTGGCAGCCCCTGGAGATAGCAGCTGTAGCCCCAGGTGGTAGATATATGACAGCAGCTTGATCTATCGACCCGGGTAAGAGGGGGTTCTGGCCTAAATGAAAATTCATGAAAAATTGATGAAGTCCCCAGATTATTTTTTCCGTTTTCTTTTCTCAGCATTACT